CACAACTTTACAATGGTCTACTTTTGTTTGTAAACTAAACACTAGCGACTAGAGGGCATAAAAGCCCACGCTCACAATCAGATGTAATTATATTTCATAAGAAAAAATTACACGATAGTGCTAATGTCAATATAGGATTCAATATCAATATCAGGTGAGCTTCCAAAAAAAAAAAAGAATCATAATATTTCACAAGTAGATTGATTAAATATTTCTTACACTCCAAGGAAATAAATAGGCACTACCTGATCTATCCCCCACCCCCCTGAAAAAGAGAAAACCGACACATAATCCATTTTAAATATATAAAGAAGGAAGGGGAAAAACAAACCGAGAAACTCTATTCAGTTCAGTCTCTACCGTCCCTCCCTTCAGGGGCAGTCCACTTGTGCCAAGGGTTCAAAGACATTGGTTTCTTAATGTCAGGTTGAAGGTCCGGTGAACGAGAAGCTTGCCGCTTGGCGAAGAACTTCCGACGGTGTTGGGCTGACTCCTCTGGAACGACGTTCGCTATGTCCTGTTGACTCGTCAGCAGAACCCGGCGGTCGTCACGTGTGGCCCAGATTTTTCCCTCGATGGTCACCCACACAGCTGTTAGCGGTTTGTTGTCAGTTCCATTTGAGACCAACTGTTTGGCTTGGTGGAAAAGTGCCCTACTAGCCGGGGACAGATCCGGACGAATTGAGAAGAAAGATCCAGCATCGTTCTTCTTCCCTTTCAGGGCCTTCCTTGCCTCATAAACCTTTCTCTTTGCCAGGAAAGTAGAGAACTTAACGATGACATGTCGTCCCGATCCCTTTGCACCCAGGTAATGTATGTTATCCAGTTCCCCCGGTAAGATGGTCACCTGTAAGTATTCCCGGGTGAATTCCACAAATTTGGCGGGAAGATCCTTTTGTTCGTAATTGTCTGGCATTCCCCAAACACGTAAACAATTTTTCCTCGAATATTGTTCACTGTGAAACTGGCGGGCTTCTAGTGATTCAACTTTTCCCTGGAGGTCTTTGATTAGGCCTTCTTGTTTCTTGATTTTTTCCTCATGACTACGGAGAACATCCCCCATGCTCTTCATTTCCGACTTCAGTCCGTCAATTTTTTTCGTTCAGGTTTGAGAAGTTCGTCGAATTTTCGGCCCTCAGTTCGTCTAACTTAATCATCAACGCCTCCATGATCACAGTTCCAGACTTGTTTTATAAATCAATAGTCTGAGATTAAAAACTCACCAACCATGTAAGTTGTGCTGCTCCAAACAATACTTAGTACATGTTTCCACGAAAAGGCAGCCGCTTCACAGTCAGAAGGGAAGATTCCACGACAAAGTAATGGCGGGAAAAGGATACTGCGCCGCCCTCCCCCACCGACAGCTGTCGACGGAATTTAACGAAACTTCGCCAACTGAAGCCACAAACACACCTTTCACTAGCTGAAAATACTCCTGGCAGCGTTGTCAACATGTACGCTGATGAATAAAGCTGAATGTCGGCGCTCAATCCAGGAAAACGTCCAATTTCCGCGTCCCAAGCGAAGAGCAGAAGAAAGTGTGTGTTGTGCGTGAAGCGCCACCTATCGACCCTTTCCATGGTATTTTATTAATAAAAGCAAGGACCTTGTAGGCATTGGCTGAATTACGTCCTGCTGTACAACAATATTCATTTACACAAACATTAACACAAATATAATAATAGAATACACAAAGTCTTTGACATGCTGCATCTATGATGGGTGTCACTAAGACAAACAATGACTGTTTAAGAGGTAAGTCATGTACGGAATGCTACTCTGTTTATAACACTGTTTTACAGTTGGTAAGACTCGTGTTATGTTTTTCTTTGCTGAGGACAACAGAGAACAGCAAATGGGTGAAAATGGATCAATAAATGGTAAGGAAGAACATGTTTTGTAGGCCATGTAGGAGTTTAGTATCAATAACTTACTAAGTTTGGGTGATTGTCAAAATGTTACAGTTTGTATCCGGGTGTAAATCGGGTGAACTGTCCGTTTCCAGCATGAGAACCAGGCTGGAGCTGAAGAAGATGAAGGAGTATGACAAGCCTGACGTGCACCAGTACGAGGTGATTCCGGCGCCCAAGTCCCCCGCGACCAAGCCGCCCGTTCCGTTGCCGCCCGTTCCGATGCCGCCGGTCGAACATATAGAGCTGCAGGAGATAGAGCTGGTGGATCCTGTTGAAGAACCTGCCGTGGCGCAACGGGACACAGGCGGCAGGAGGATGCCGAACAGACGGGTGGGCACTCAGCAGTGTTTTAGACCAAAACATGCTCAGGCACGGTTTTGGATACGTCTGGACTATCCAGAACCATGCTTTATACGAAACCATGCTCAGGCACGGTTCTGGATAGTCCGCGCGTATCCAGAACCTTGCTTAATATACAGAACCATGCTCAGGCACGGTTCTGGATAGTCCAGACGTATCCAGAACCGTGCTTTATGGAAAACCATGCTCAGTCACGGTTCTGGATATTCCAGAAATATTCAATACCTGGATATTCCAGAAATATTCAGAAACGGACTTTATACGAAACCATGCTCTGGTACGGTTCTGGGTAGTCCAGACGTATCCAGAAACGGACTTTATACGAAACCATGCTCTGGTACGGTTCTGGATGGTTTAGATGTATCCAGAAACGCACTTTATACGAAACCACGATCAGTCGCGGTTCTGGATAGTCCATACGTATCCAGAACCGTGCTTCATACAAAACCATGCTCTGTCACGGTTCTGGATAGTCCAGACATATCCAGAACCGTGCTTTATAGAAAACCATGATCCGGTACGGTTCTGGATAGTCCATACGTATCCAGAACCGTGCTTCATACAAAACCATGCTCTGTCACGGTTCTGGATAGTCCAGACATATCCAGAACCGTGCTTTATAGAAAACCATGATCCGGTACGGTTCTGGATAGTCCAGATGTATCCAGAACCGTGCTTTATACGAAACCATGCTCAGGCACGGTTCTCGATAGCCAGACGTATCCAGAACCGTGCTTTATTCGAAACCATGCTCAGGCACGGTTCTGGATAGCCAGACGTATCCAGAACCGTGCTTTATACGAAACCATGCTCTGGTACGGTTCTGGATAGTCCAGACGTATCCAGAACTCTGCCTGGGGCAAATCTACGTTCTTGGATACGCGAAGCCTTTGGGATATCCAGAACCGTATCAGAGTCTGCTGTACCGAATGCATGTAACGTTACCTTTCAAAAACCTCCACAAAGAAAAAGAAGCTGTTCAAAGATTAACTGCCAAACGTATTGCAACTTTTTTTATTGTAGGTTTTGGATAGGCGCAATGTCCCACGGGGTACCAATGGTGGTCCTGCTGTCCGGGCTGGCCATTCTCCAAGGTGCGGCCTTCTATTGTTTGATCATGTGTTATTATAATTAGTTAAATACATGAGCTGGACAATACTCAGCAAAACATTCTTAACCGTAACATAACCCGAGTTGGACAGTACTCATCGGGCAGATCCTGTGATCGTGGGCAAGTTTGATCATGTTTACTTTTTCAAACATTACCTGCGGGGTCGTGTGGCGTAGCGGCAGAGTGCGCGACTCGGAGGTCCCGAGTTCGACTTCAGACATGCCACCGAGCTTGTGCCCTTGGGAAAGGCACTTTACACGACTTTCCTCACTTAGCTCAGGTGTAAATGAGTATCGTCCTGTCATGTATTTGTCCCCTGTGTTGGTGGCGGCATTAATATAAGTTGAAAAAACTTGAGTGTGCCGTCACCACGTCTGGTGATTATATGTTGGAATAAAAAAAATAAATAAAAGAAAATAATAAAAAACATTACATTGATTTACTGCCATTGTAAAGTCCGATACTGTCTACAACATTTCCCCAAATTTACTGTCATTTACTACTATTGAAAAATCGGACCTTTCGTGCAGTGCGTGAAGCCCAGTGAATGCAACATTTGTTGCATTTGTGAACCAGTCAGAAGGTGACAAACGGTCACGGAAACGTCGGCTGAATATGAATAAAAGACTTGGTTGTGTAAAAAGAGTCTCTTTAGAGTGTCTTACCAACCTGATGAAACTATTCACCAACATTTGTTTCTGCAGGATTCCCAGTAAGGTTGCTCCCGTGAAGGAACCGCTACCGTCGCTGGGACTACTGCCCGCCGCCACCGCGTCCGGCGCCGCTCGGCTGGGGGCTCGGTCCCTCTGGCTTAGGGACGAGGACTACAGCACCGAAACCGCCCGGAACGGGGCACGGTCCGGACCAGACTCCGCCCGGCATGTTGCGCGGTCTGGCACCGAAGCCGCCCTTTATGGGGCCTGGACCGGCACCGGTGCCCGATCCGGACCCGACGCCGCCCGGCATGTGGCCCGACCCGGCACCGACTCCGCCCGGCACGGGCCCCGGTCCTTGTGGCTCCGTGACACCGACTACAGCACCGACAGCAGCTACGCGTTCGACAACGAAGGCGAGAGTGACACAGATGTAGATTAGCGGAAAATAAAAAGCTCTTTTTACCCTATCTAAACAGTATTAGTTCCTCTCCTACCTCCATTGGGATCTGTTGTATTCAGAAACGTGCTTTATCCAGAACCATGCTCAGGCACGATTCTCAGGTACGGTTCTGGATAGTCCACGCGTATCGAGAAACTCCCCTGTGGCAAATCTACGTTCGTGGATTCGCAGAGACCAAACAGAACTTAGCCTGATCCTACCCCATTCAGACATTGAGCTAGATAGGTACGCTTCTTCATACAACAGGGCCGAAATGGACACATTACAAGCGGAACAGCAGAGGAATTACAGAAGCCAGACAAATGTCCTTCAGGTTGTGTAACAAGAACGTAATTTTGCAGTGATCTACCGGGATTGTGACGTGAGACACAGATGTGGAGTGTTGTGCAGCTGGGTCATTTTGATGTATAATCTACATATTCTACATATTTTGATTATACATTAATTACACTAATAAAATCACTGTTATCACCGATCTACAAATGCACTGCTTTGCACTATTCTAGCTATTTTAGTGACGTGACCGACACGAAACAATAACTGACAAAGTCTTCCATCATGCGTTTTCTAGATTTTTATTGGCAGAAATCTTGGTTACATAGAGCAGCAAAGCTGACCTATGGGTTCCTTGGGGAATTACAAGACGACAAATTACTGTACTAAAAACGTCTAGAGCTGTAGGAACTTTCAAAATAACTAGGCAGAATTTGAAGACATTATGAAGACTAGATAAAAGGGAACAACATTACGATCAGGTCAAAGACTTGCCCTATAAGGACATGAAAGTTTAGATATAGGACATGAAAGAAGGAACCCTGTTATCTATGTTTCGGGCTGTGAGCAGGATATCAGAGAACAATAAAAATAAATAAAAATAAAAATAAAAACAAAAATTAAAAACAATAATGTATATTTGGCTTCCAATGCCCTAGTATGCTTAAATTACCTAGCAATTTGATATGGGGGTGTCTTGGGCATATGTCCACAGGATTCAGTCAAATTTCGGCATAGACCCATTCTGGATGATGCTGATTTGTTATTTCCAACCCTGATATCTACTCACGAGCCTTGTCATGGTTAAATGAGGCAAAAGCAGCTAAAATCTATGCGGCTGATCTGCAGTCACGGCTGGAAGGCCAGGATGGTGCTCGGCACACGCAGGATGCGGTGGGACCATCGCCATTCCGGGGTCCTGTTAACGATAGGAGGAAGGAGACTAACCGATACGTTAGGGAAAAAAAATCAACAACGGAATGTTAAAAATGTTTCTAAAAAAACACTCAACTTACTAACGAAGACTGTATCTGTATAGCTGGTATAACGACCCTTTAGCCGCCGTAAACACCGGCATCATCGCAATATGAATGAAATTATGAGTGAAACAGTCACAACTAATCTTTGCACATCTACTGCAAGCGTTGTTTAAAGCTGTCAAGTGGGAATGTCACTACTCCACTTGGTCGCAGCGAGTTCCACTTCACGATAGTTCTAAAGAAAACAAATCTCCTGAAGACACTTCGTACCTTTGAGGACTAGATGGCGGCGCTTCTCTTCCTCCGTTGCCCGCGCAGCAGCTCCAGTACTTCCTGCAGGATCTCCCTGGGGAAGATTGAGAACACATTTTCTTCATCAAGTACAAAAATGCCAGCATGGATCCAGGCAACATTTCATCGGTACGACTTCTTGTCTGTATTTCAAACGAGGCAAAACAATTGACATTTTTCTCACGCTTGGACAAAATGATGTTTTACTGCCATCACAAAGCCAATATCGTCGATAACTTACTCCTCCGTCTGCTCCTGCTGTTCCTGTTGCTGCTCCTGCTGTTCCTCCTGCTGTTCCTGCTGTTCCTGCTCCTCCTGCGCCTGATCCTCCTGCCACGGATCCTCCTGCTGCTCCTGCTGTTCCTCCTGCTGCTGCTGCTGGTCATCCTGCCACGGATCCTCCTGCTGCTGTTCCTCCTGCTGTTCCTGCTGCTGATCGTCCTGCCACGGATCCTCCTGCTGCTGTTCCTCCCCCTGCCTTAGATGATGATCGTTGCTCTTCTTCCGTTGCCTGCGCAGCAGCTCCAGAAGGCCGCGTGCTTCCTCCAGGATCCTCCTTTTGAAGGTGGAAAAAAACAGTTTCTTCATCAGGTACAAAAATGTCATCGGAAGTATGTCTTGTCCTGCCCCCAGCAGGGCAGCAGTAGAGTATTTCAGACGAAACAACTGGCATTTTCTCATGCATGAACGCCACGATGTTTTACTGTCGTCACAAGGTCTATATTAACGATAACTTACCACTCCTCCTGCTGCTCCTGCTGTTCCTCCTGCCACTGCTCCTCCCCGTCCTGCCTTCGGCGATGATCGTGGCCGTCACCCTCGTAATGCTCCTCATCGCTGCCCTCCCCCCTCTGGTCCATGATGGTATCGCCCGAGTTGTCACTCATCAGGTCCAGAATAAAGCTGGCCTCCTGCGGCACCATCCTGGCGAAAAATGACAACATTTTGGTTAAGTTTGGTGGTTTAGAATCGGTTGTTGAGTGGCTGCTTTAGTCTGCTAAAGGTTTAACAGCTGTGCATGCGATTGGAATTGGGTGACTGCCATTGTTCACTGCCAGTGTGGATACATAGCCTTTCATAAAATGGCGTTGTAAAGTTTGGGTTAGTCTCCAAGTAGACTTTACGGTGGTAAGTCAGCTATGCTTTGTCCATTAGCCAGCGGTGGCCATGAGATGGACTCTGCTTGGCACATTGAATACTGCCCTGCCACCTTATAATCTGCTCGGAGATTAGTTTGCTGATGCGTATGAACCAGATGCCTCATAAACGTTCTTCATTGAGGCATCCCTGCATCCTCCTGTCTATGTGCTTATTTGGATTTTTCACAAAGTGAAAGGGAGTGCAAAACAGGTGCATACGCACCTTTACAAGTTACCCTCCCCCATACAAAAACACATACAACATCAAAATTCACATAGTCAATGACAAGTATAAACATACACAGAATAGGCAATCAATATAGAAGGTTAAGCATAATTCAAATTGTCTGTCTCTACAGTCTTCATCTCAATAACCTTAGGTCAATCACAACATCTCGGGTGTCTATACATGAAGAGTGCTCAGACGATGACTTCAACTTTTCCCAAGGCTCAAGTTACCATCAGCTTACCTCTTCTGTCTGATCGCGTCTCCCTGGTCCACCATCAGCACCATCAGGAGGCCGGTCAGACCCAGGAACATCGCCAACTTGTAGCCCATCGTTAAACTACGGAAGGAAAACATCTGTGAAATATCTGTGTGTTCATCTGGTGTCATCTTTGTTGGCATTCAATGGCCTCACCTCGCTTCACCAGTCCCATAGCAGTATTGTATGGCACCACCGGTTTTACTCCTGCCCAGTTCTCAGTAATTATTTTGCTCGCTTCCCACATATTTGGGGATGGTGGGACCGATGACTTACGTAATCTCGTAGCCTGTCTAAATCGCGCTCCTGGCGGCCTTGGGGTTGGGGTCATTGACCTCCGGCTGTTAGAGATTATGTAACACAGGCTACTAATCTCGGGGCAGATGTCGATAGGCAAGACTAGAAACGTGTTCTACGTCTAGGATAGGAAGTTCTGGAGGTCGTTTGTAACATAGAGGGGGCTCTAGAATAGAGAGTTCGGTTGGCAAGGCTACAAACGTTTTCTAGGATCCTGTTTTACGAAGTAACGAGGGTCTAGAAAACTGTGATTTGCCCAGCCAACTTCTGCTTGGAGATAAGAGCCTCGTTGGACCAGTATTATATAATAGTACTATTATATAAGTACAGTCTTATATAATAGTCAGAGATAATGGTTGTGCAGCTGTCCCGAGGCGCCTCAAGTTTAATGAATCGTGCATACAACATACCAACGTGTCACGTATATACCAATGGACGGCCAGTCTAAAAAAGGTTTACAATTTTCTACCATACGTCCATATCGGGTTAGAAATTTAGGTAGAACACTACAAAATAAACCAGGTGACTGGATAATCTCTCTCAAGAGTCAGACTTTTTAGTCAGACATGTTCAGTTACTGATGAGAAAAGGCTGTCAGTAACTGTCAGTTAACACATTTGAAAGTATATCCTAAAACCTTTGTGGTGAAAGTATTTCTAGTTTCTATCCAGGTTTACAAAAATTGTATATTAGTTAATATCGGCAAGGTGACGTAGTCGGCCTACAAAAGAAGACGAATTCAGGGCAAAACAACTTAACCCGGCATAGAATTATTAGTCTTTAGTACGAAAATGCAGAAATCGGCCAGCATTGTTCGTCAAAAAGAGCTCGATCCCCTACCACTTAATTAATCCATAACTCGACTGTTAGAGTTGAGTTAAACCACTGCATAAACCAGCCGCCGTAAAAAAAACTCTATACAGTGGGCTCCTGTGTCGGTAGTTTAATGCCTAACGCACGTAAACAAGCATAGAGCCTTGTCGATGTGGTCGAGCATTTTTCGTGCTAAATTCAACTGTCTTAAAGGGCGGTTTAAGATCCTCGTCAACCATTGGTTCTGCTACAACCTGCTTGAAAATTCCACCACATCAGAATCGTACGGTGATCCTCGACGAATATGACCGAGCCCTATTAGTTGTTGGCAACTTGCGAGACCAACAACACATATATAAATACAAAAAAAATCCGATGATTCGACGCTACAATTGCTTGCCAAACGACAGGCGTAGAATCTCGGTAAAGTCGTCTAACATCATCTAAAGTGTTCTAAACACCAAATCTGGACCCCGTGACGCGAGCGTCGACCGTTCGGCACACAGTCTAGCCTGGCGCCAGTCTGCTGCTAGGGTCTCGGCTCCGGGACTAACACGTCCTCGAGGACATTTTACCACAGACACCCCTCAGTTAGATCCTGAGTATCAGGTACGGCCGGCAAACCCTTCTTCCCTAGCCTGGTGAATTAGTTGTGGCTCCCCGCTATCTCTAGGGCGCTTACAGTGTTCCCCGCCCGCCCAGCCTCCCGCCCAGTCCACGAAGGGGCAGCAGTAATAAAAAAGCCGACTGTAACGGTCTATCTTGACAGGTGTAGGATACAGCCCTGTGTCAGACAAAGTAGGGCCGGCCGGAACACCCCCAAGTCGGCCCGTTGAGGAGGGTAACCAGCCCGGGGCCCTCTCCCGCTTGCCACCGCGGGCACACCCGGGCGCACCACCGGCAACACACCCCACCCTGCCCCGCCGGTGTCAACCCTGTCCGCGGCCCGGCTACGAGGATCACCCCCAGTCTAAAGACCCCGAATTCACCACGTCTATGAAGACAAAATTAGCGTGCTCACCGCGATGAAGTTTCTGTTCTTCTCGGCAATCTCAGGACGTTCTGGAGTCGTGAGCTCGAGTGGGTGACTCCTGCTCGGCTTGAAGTCTCAAACTCTTATGAGAACAACGGCGTGAGAATTATACAGACTGACCTTTCTGCTAATCGCCCAGACAAAGCCCAGACAATTAAGCCTAACTTTCCATCCGACCTGCTACATCTCGCACGTTATGTAACTCGTCGATGAAGGTTAGACATCCAGGTAATACGATACGCCAAAAAGTAGTTACTCATTGACAAGCAACTGGATATGATCTTGGAAACGGTCAGACGTTTCAGCTAGTATCCACTAGCTTTTGTCAGTGACTGAGAGACCAGAGGAGAAATGCAGGTCACTGACGAAAGCTAGTGGATACTAGCTGAAACGTCAGGTCTGACCGTTATGTAACACTCAGGTGTTGATTACGAATGCGGAGATTTTGAGCCGCGCGGTTCGCAAGCCTCCGTCACGAGAATTACTTGCACAGAAAAGCTTTTTACCTTTGCCATTGAACTTTTGAACAAAGTTTTGTACTGTATAAATATATATGTGGCATCCACCAAAATGTACCCGATGGAACGCGTTATCGATGGATAATTTTTCAACACGAATTGACGATTAGGCCACCCTATCATTACCTCACTGTGCACGCCTGAGGGCATCGTTATGAAATAGGCTCCGTCCGACTTCACTCAGAAAATCCGTATGAGAGTAAAATTGGCCAAGGGAGTCCGGCCCAGGGGAGGTAGTTTCTTTCCCTCTGTGGCCAGTGAAACCTACAAGACGGCCAAACTCACCCGGCAAATATTCTCCTATATATAGCCAGCGTAGTTAGTCTGATAGAGACTACTCCAGGCGAGGTCGCTCTAGATGAACTGCTGTGTAGTCTTATTGCTAGTTCAATGACGTGACCCAAACAAAACAATGACTATTAAACAAGATATCTCATCCTGCCTTTTCTTTTATTGGCAGAAATCTTGGTTACATAGAGAAGCAAAGCTGATCTATGGGTCCCTTTGGGTAATTGCAAAACGACAGGTTACTAAAACCTTTGCAAAGGCAGAATTTATATTTGAACTCTAATATCGACTCACGAGCCTTGTCATGACTAAATGATGCAAAAGCAGCTAAAATCTATGCGGCTGATCTGCAGTCACGGCTGGAAGGCCAGGATGGTGCTCGGCACACGCAGGATGCGGTGGGACCAACGCCATTCCGGGGTCCTGTTCACGGTAAGAAGAAGGAAATCAGCCGGTACGTTATGGAAAAATCAACAACGAAATGTTCCAAATGTTTCTAAAAAATACACTCAACTTACTAACGAAGACTGTATCTGTATAGCCGGTACAAAGACCCTTTGGCCGTCGTAACACACCAGCTTCGCAGCAGGCACCCTAATCTTTGCCCATTTACTGCAAGCGTTGCTTAAAGCTGTGAAGTGATGATGCCCCTACTCCACCCAATGGCACGAATTCCACTTACAAAACGTACACTTAGGGTATAGAATTTTATTCTTACACAACCAGTAAGGTTCTCACCTGCTTACGTTTCGATGTCTATCAGACACCTTCCTCAGAGCTGAGAAACGTAAGCAGGTGAGAACCTTACTGGTTGTGTAAGAAGAAAATTCTATACCCTAAGTATCTTCCAACCTGATGAAATTATTTACGGAAAACGTACACTTCGTACCTTTATGGACTAGATGCCAATGTCCTCAGTGCTGTACAAATTGTCCCTTTCCCTCGCTCAGCAGCTCCAAAAGGCCGATTGCTTCATCCAGGATCCGCCTGGGGAAGAACGGAAGCACATTTTCTTCATCAGGTATAAAAATGTCAGTATTGACCCAGGCAACATTTCGTCGGCAGGATTTCTTGTCTGGCCCCCAGCAGGGCAGCAGTAGAGTATTTCAAACGAGGCAAAACAATTGGCATTTTCTCACGTATGAACGCCATGATGCATTACTGTCGTCACTAAGCCAATATTAACAATAACTTACCACTGCTCCTGCTGCTCCTGCTGTTGCTGCTCCTGATGTTCCTCCTGCTGTTCCTGCTGTTCCTGCTGCTCCTGTTGCTGCTCCTGCTGCTGTTCCTGCTGCTGCTCCTGCTGTTCCTGCTGCTGCTCCTGCTGTTCCTGCTGCTGTTCCTGTTGCTGAAGATCTTCCACGCTGCTGCCATGGCCGTGACCGTCACCAGCGTAATGCTCTTCGTCGCTGTCGTGCTCGTGGCCCTCCCCCTCCTCCTCCTGCTGCCTTAGGAGTTCCTCCAACTCCCTTAGGAGAGAATCCTGGCCGTCACCCTCGTTGTGTTCCACGCTGCTGCCATGACCGTGACCGTCACCAGCGTAATGCTCCTCTCCGCTGGCATGCTCATGGCCCCCTTCCCCCTCTTCCCCACTCGCTGTGGGGGCGAAGGTGACCTCATCCTCCTCGATGGGGAGCACGGTGGGATCTTTCGAGAGGTACATCAGGCTGTCTATGCTCGCCTCCACCATCCTGGCAGAAATGACAACATTTTGGTTTCGTTTCGTGGCTTAGAATTGGTAGTAAAGTGGCTGCTGCAGTGTGCTAAAGGTTAGATACAGCTGAGGTTGGAATCAGGTGTCTAACATTTACATAGTCGTCTCCACTGCCAGCGTGGTTACATAGCATTTAAAAAATGGCTTTGTAAGGTTAGAGGTTACCTTCAAGCAGATTCTACGGTGGCAAGGCAGTATCAAGTCGGCTATGCTTTGTCCGTTAGCCACCGGTGCCGGTGGCTATTAGATGGACACTGCATGGGATACTGCCCTGCCACCGCAGCATCTGCTCGGAGATTAGTTGAAGTTTCCTCATGATGCGTATGAAAAAGCTGCCTCATAAACGTTCCCAAGACTCATGGAAGTATCCCTACATCCTCCTGTCTCTAACGTTACAGTCATCATCTCGACTACCTTAAGCCATTCACAACATCTCGGATGTCTTGATACGAAGACTGCTCAGACGATAACTTCAGATTTCCCCAAGGCGTAAGTTACCACCACCACCACACGCTGACGACGGTTAGTTAGACATGAATTAAACCAAGCAAGAAGATTTCCGCCAAAGCCAAATGTTTGTAGCGTGTGGGTCAAAAGGGTATGAGAAACAGAATCAAATGCTTTGGCAAAGTCGAGAAATAACATGTCTACTTGTTCCCTCTCCATGTCTAGTATCTACCCTACTTTGTGGTGTTTCCAAAAGCTGAGTGGTGGTGGAACGGCCGGGCGTAACCCCATGTTGTCATACAATAGCTTACCTCTTCTGTCTAATTGCGTCTCCCTGGTCCACCATCAGCACCATCAGGAGGCCGGTCAGACCCAGGAACATCGCCAGCTTGTGGTCCATGGTTGAACTACGGAAGGAAAATAACCTACATAAAATATCTGTGTTCATCTGGTGTCGGAAACAGAAGCTGTTGCCATTGTTCGTCAAGGTGAGCTCGATCCCATAACACTTATTTATTCCATTAGATGGCTCGACTGTTAGAGTCACTGCATAAACCAGCCGCCAAAACAAACTCTACAAAGTGGGCTCCTTGGTCGGTTTTTAAATGCTTGATTGCACGATCACAAATATCAAAGCCTTATAAGTAGTCAAAGCCTGATGTAGCCGTGCTAAATTCAACTGTCTTGTTCCATAAAAGGCTGTCTAAGATCCTTGTCCAACCTTCTTGAAACTTCCACAACATCAGAATCATACGACGACCTTCAACGAATGTGACAGAGCCCTATTAGGAACTGTACGATATTTACCGGGGAGGGGGGTCGGTCGTCTGAGGGGGAGGGGCCTAGGGAAAAAATTGAGTGGGGGAGGGCCTAGGAAATTTGTTTTAACTGGGGGGAGAGCCTAGGAAAAAAATTACGTTACCCCGGACGGCAGGTCCTCCCTCCCCGATAAATATCGTACAGTCCCTTAGTTGCTGGCACTGCATGCGAGACCAACAACACTACGGCATGTCTGAATGTGAAAAACATTCAACCATTCGACGTTGCAATTACTTGCCAGGCGACAGGCTTCGTATCTCGGTAAAGTCGTCTTAAGTCTTCTTAAAGTGTTCTAAGGACCCCGTGACGTCGACATTTCCCTCACCCGGTCAAGCCTGGGTGCATGCGAGACGGCTGGCGTGTTGCCAGGGCCTCGGCTCCGGGACCAACATGTCCCTGAGAAAATTTTAAGACTGCTATAGGAAAGCCCTGTGTCAGACAAACTAGGGCCGGGCGGAACACTCACAAGTTGGCCCGTTAAGGAAGGTAACAAAACTACTTCT